CTTGGGCTAGGCTAGGAGTCATGGGCTTGAATCTTGGTTCTGATGCCACCACTGAATGTAAATTGTATAAATCCTACCCTTTCTCTGGGCCTTTTATTTTCCCCAACTATGAAATAGGAATATGGAGGAGGCTGGATATATCCTTGCTCATGGGTTTCTGGTTAGGATTATACTAAGTGAATACATGCAAAATTATTTTCAAGCCAAAATGAAATAGAAATACAAGAGACTGTTTCTCACTATTCTTATTGTTGTTACAAAGACTAAAAAATAGCAAATTCCGTATGCTTCTCATGTAGCTAAAAGCCTTTTTTGGAGTGGGTAGGGCAACTACTTGAGGCCAGGCACAGGGGATACAAAGATTAATAACACCCAGCCTCTATCCTTGGAATCTGGAAGGTCTAGGAAAGGAGATAGTAGGTACAATTGGTAATATAAGTTTAATGTGCTACTACAAAGGCTGGGCTAGAGTTTGGCAGGAACTCTGCTCTTTCTTTTTTTTTTTTTTTGAGATGAAGTTTCATTCTTGTTGCCCAGGCTGGAGTGCAATGGTGCGATCTCGGCTCACTGCAACCTCTGCCTTCCGGGTTTAAGCGATTGTCCTGCCTCAGCCTCCCGAGTAGCTGGGATTACAGGCATGCACCACCACGCCCAGCTAATTTTGTATTTTTAGTAGAGATGTGGTTTCTCCATGTTGGTCAGTCTGGTCTCGAACTCCCAACCTCAGGCGATCCACCTGCTTCGGCCTCCCAATGTGTTGGGATTACAGGTGTGAGCCACCGTGCCTGGCCGAGCTCTGCTCTTAGTGGTAGTGCAGGTGGATAGTAATGCTTAGGACAAGAACTTCAAATGTGAATCAACTGGCATTCTCCAACACAAAATAGAATTAAAGGCATAGGGACTTTTTTTTTTAAAGTTTGAGCTTATTATACTATGTTCCAGGCACTTTCACATCCATCATCTTCCTAATAAGCCATGTATTATTATGCCAGTTTTACAGATGAGGAAGCTGAGACTCAGGGTGGTTGGGTAATTTCCAAGATCTATAAAACTAGAAGCATAAAGGCAAAATTTAAACCCAGATTATCTAACTGTAAGCATGGGGCTTTTCCCAATACCCCTTGTTGCTTTCTTATCAGCCAATGTTTCTATAGAACCCATTCCATGCTAACCTTGAATGACCTTCTTACTCGGATTGCTTTTCCCAGGAGAAAGACTAATCTTTGATAGAGTGCAGTGGTGTGATCTCAGTTCACTGCAACCTCCATCCACTGTGTTCAAGCAATTCTCCTGCCTCAGCCTCCCTAGTAGCTGGGATTACAGGCATGTGCTACCATGCCTGGCTAATTTTTGTAGTTTTAGTAGAGATGGGGTTTCACCATTTTGGCCAGGCTGGTCTCAAACCCCTGACCTCAAGTGATTCGCCTGCCTTGGCCCCCCAAAGTGCTGGAATTACAGGTGTGAGACACTGCGCCCGGCCTGATGAGAGAGATTTTACAGTAACCCCTCCCATCATCATTTCCTCTTCCACTTCCTATGATAAACTAATTCCCTCCTACTGTGCTCTCCTGACTTCTCCCTCTCCTCCAACCCCAGCGAAACTGCCAAGGAGTTAAGAATCACAATACATGAGGAGGCTGCAGAGAGAGCACCCTGCCTCCTCAGCCATTAGCCTACAAATCTCAGGACAAAATACACTGAGAGAAGGGAGAAATTTGAATACAATTCTGTCTAAGAAAGAGTTCACATAGACCAAAATCTGACTATGCCTTAATTTTGCAGAACTGTAAGGAATCTTAAAATATAATTATCAGACTTGCTTATTTTACAGATTCAGAAAACTGAGACTCAAGAAGGGGAAAGGACTTGCCTCAAGTCACACACTAGCAATAGGCAGAGTCTGGACTGGAACTCCAGTCCTCTGACTCCCAGGCGAATGCTTTTTCACTAAAATACATTGCCTCTTTAGCTTTTCCCATTAACAACTCAACTTACATGAGATCATAGCCCTTTCAAGAAGAAAGCTCAGTACTGGTATCTCTGCAAAGCCCAGAAGTCAGTGCCCCACTCTGATCAGCTGATGTGCTCATCTAAAGAACAGGAAGTGGTTTCACTTCTAGCTCTGAAAGCACATTGTAGGGGTGAGAAAGGGGGATTTGGGGAAGAGAGTTCCTGTACATGATAGTCAAAAGCAATCAGCAGACACTTTGGTCTTGCTTGAAGAAGGGGAAGATATAAGGTCAGACATGTAAGGGGAAGATAAAGGTTGTCCTTGATCAGCACATGATTTCATCAAGAGCTTCCCCCAGCCGCAGGGTGGTGGAGAGTGGAAGTGGGGAGGGGGGAGGGTGGTGGTGGGGATTCGGCTCTGCTCATTCCCTTCTCTGCTCTGAGGGAGCTAGATACCAGAGTGGGGGCTGAGATAGGAGCACCAGGGTAGGAAAATTTGCAGGAACTTGATACAACCTTCAATGTTTCCTCCACCCTCCCTTAGCACCCATAACTTCCCCTGTCAAGAGAGGAAGAAAGAACACATTATTCAGCTTTACACACTGAAAAGTTTACTGTGTGAAATAAAGGAGACTTAAGAGGTCAACAGAAGCTGGGCACGGTAGGTCACACCTGTAATCCCAGCACTTTGGGAGGCTGAGGCAGGTGGATCACCTGAGGGCAGGAGTTTGACACCAGCCTTGTCAACATGGAGAAACCCCATCTCTATTACAAATAGAGAAAAAGTATCCGGGCATGGTGGTGCACACCTGTAATCCCAGCTACTCAGGAGGCTGAGGCATGAGAATTGCTTGAACCTGAAAGGAGGAGGTTACAGTGAGCCATCATGCACCACTGCACTCTAGCCTGGGTGACCGAGTGAGACGCTGTCTCAAAAAAAAAAAAAAAAAAAAAAAAAGAGGTCAGCAATTCCTGAATCCTCTCTTAAAGGACAGAGGTGTGGAGATGATGTTTCCTGATGACCTGGCCTGGAATATAACAATCTGATTGTCAAATAGATGGGTGTGAAACAAGAGAATAACCTCCCCAACCCCCGCATTGATGTCAGGGGAGTTTTGTTTTCTTCTAGTGGCAGGATCACATCCCACCTTAGTACTAACAGCCTGGGACATCAAAGCACACAGACACAGAGCCATGGAATGCCAGGCACGGGAGAGACTGCGGGCATTTGCCTGTAGCAATGGTGCTCCAACCTGGCAGCCCATCAGAGTCATCTGGGGAGCTCATCAAAATTGAGATTCCCAGGAACCAGCCCAGAGATTGATTAGGTAAATCTGGGCTGGGGTACACAAATCTTCATTTTCAACAAGCAGCTGGTTTAAGAACCAAGGATCTGGTTCAACCCCATCCATCCACCTATCAAAACTTTGATACAAGATACTGCTTTTACAGTAAAGAAAACTGAGGTGCCAAAAATAGGTTAGTAGCGGGACTTGAACTAGAATTTGTTCCTCTTCCTGCTGGTATGGTGTCTCTGCCAGTGCTCTTACACCTGGCTTTCTCTTCCAGCCCACATGTCCATTGAGGACCTGTGAGGACCCGTGAGCCCACAGGGGAATCAGCTGCCAGGAGCTTTGATTGAATCTCTCCATTTAGATCACTGGTGGAAAATGGCTACTTTTGAGGCTGGGGTAGAGGTGGTTTTAAGGACATTCTCAGAAAGCTGTGTTCTGTATTCTGGTGAGTTAAAAGTGGAAGGCCCAGCTGGTGGCCTCTAAAGCATACTACCCAGTTGTTCCAGACAGAAAGAATAGTTGGTTCATGGGAGCAGCCTGCTGTGTTGGAGGAACCAGAGTGGCAGAGGCAGAGTGAGCAATGGAGAGAGTGGCAGAAGAGGAGGTCTGGGAGGTAATGGGAAGCCAAAACATACGGGACCCTCTAGGCCACGTGATCTTTGGCTTTTTCTCCAAGCCACTGCAGAATTTTGAGAAGAGGAGTGTCATAACCTGACTGCTCTGATGTGGTGGTGAGAACAGGTTACCTACGGCAGTGGGATAGAAGCAAGGAACCCAGTGAGGAAGCTTTGCAGTAATTCAGGAGACAGAGGATGGCGGCTCAGATCAAGATGGCAGGAATACAGGTAGTGAGACATGGTTGAATCCTGGATGTTTTTTAAAAGTAGAGTTAACGGATTTTCTGATGGACTGGCTATGAGATGTGAGATAAAAAGGGGAGTCAAGGATGATGCCAAGCATTTGGCTCTAGTGATGGGAAGGCTGGAGTTACCAACTGAAAGGAAGAAGACTGTAGGTGGAGAAGGTTTGGGGGAGGGACAGCAGAGCTCTGCATTGGACATACCAAGTTTGAGGTGTCTGCTAAACACACAAGGGAAGTACCGCACAGGCTGCTGGACACAGGAGCCTGGAGCTCAGGGAAGACTCGAGACAGGCTAGAGGCATCATTGAGTATACACATGGTATTTAAATAAAGTCTTATGACTGGATGAGGTGATCAAGGGATTAAGTACAGGCAGTGAAGAAAAGAGGGTCAAGGACCCTGCCTGGAGACCCTCCAGTATCAAGAGGTCAGAGAGAAATGAGACCGAGAAGGAGTGAGGGAGGAGGAGGGAGGGAGGAGGAAAACGATGAGCAAGTCAAGTCCTAGAAGCCAAGTGGACCAAGCGTTTCCAGGAAGAGGGAGTGATCAGCTGGGTCACATGCCACTGACAGCTGTGGCAAGATGAGGGTTAGGAACTGACGATTGGATTTAGCTATTGGAGAACTGGTAACCTTGACAGAGGTAGCAGTTGACTCTGAACCTCATGGAGCCCCACAGTTTGACAACTGACTGTCATTGAAGACACCCTTATTGTGAATTTTTGTCTTCTGGATTAAGTTGTAAACTTTGCAACATCGGATGACGAGTCAGCATATGCGCAGAGCACAGAGTCCTTGCTGGGCTGTGGGGCCTTATGAAGCCCGTTGACACCCACCTGAGGGCTCCTACCACTGGGCATTGACCTGAAGCAATTATCCTCATTCCTGGCTTACCTTGAACGCAGAATTTCAGTTCTTTGGGGTCAGTGACACCCTTCCTGCTTTCCCGGATCACGGCCCGGTTCTTCTTGTTTTCTCCCCAGAGATTGGTGCCTCCGTACATGCTGGGAATGTTGAGAATGGCAATGCCTTCCAGGAAGATGTTGCTCAGGTCCACCCCAACCCCATCACACTGGAGGACAGAGAGAAAAGGCCATCTGTTAGTGTCCTCAGTGTGTCACAACCCAAGGTGCTCTGTGTGTGTGTGTGTGTGGTGGGTACTCTCTTAAAGGATGTGACAGGTCCTCAGCCACCACCCTGCCACTGTAAGAGGAGAAGTCATGGGCAAAGTCGCTCAGACTTAATGCTTTGACCACTGCAGTGAGACAAGAGATCCAGTCCTGGTCAGCTCTGGGGAAGACAGCACAAGGCTCCAGGGGTCATCTTTAGGTCTAGAAGTGCTTTAGGGCTGGTTCTCAAGTCAATTGTCAAACTGTTCTCCAGTCTAATCTCATTATCATCAATCTTGCCCCTTCCTAACCATTAGAAGATTTAGTGGAACTGAATTCAGAACCTAACAAATGACAGAATTTTTTTTTTTTTTTTTTTTTTTAGATGGAGTCTCACTCTGTCACCCTGGCTGGAGTGCAGTGACACAATCTTGGCTCACTACAACCTCCACCTTCTGGTTTCAAGTGATTCTCCTGCCTCAGCCTCCCAAGTAGCTGTGATTACAGGCACCCACCATCACGCCTGGCTAGTTTTTGTATTTTTAGTAGAGACGGGGTTTCACTATGTTGGCCAGGCTGGTCTCAAACTCCTGACCTCATGATCTGCCTGCCTCGGCCTACCAAAGTGCTGGGGTTACAGGAGTGAGCCACCACGCCTGGTCAGAAATTTTTTGTTTTACCCCCTCCTATTTTATCTCTCTGTGAGAAGCACAAGACTTTAAGCTTTGGAAGGCTTTCAGAATCTGCCTGTCTCCTGTATCTGTATCATAAGTGCAATTTTGGCATACGTGTTTGCTGAAGGAGCAGAGTTTCTTTATCCAATCTCCACAACTTGCAATCCCCACCAGGTATGAAAAGTCAGAAGGCTTGAATTTTCATCTCGCATGTCTATAAAGTCAGCCCACTTTGGCATCGTGCTTACCAACACAGCAAGAAATATCAGCTCTGATCCTTGTTCCTCAGGATAGTAGGTAGTTTATTTCACTTACAGAAGCAAACACTGGACCCAGAGAGTTGAGCTAAGTTATCCAAGATTGCACAGCTAATAAATAACAGAGCAGGGGTTCAAAGTTGGGGGCTTTGACTACAAAGTACATGGTCTTTATCTTGTTTATTGTGAGAAAGAAAAAACCAAATGCATACAATAAAAACCCACTGTCTCTGAGGTTATGTACAAACCCAAACTTCCAGAGACTTATCAATAGAGGGGGACTAGAAAGGCATTGTTGCCATCAGAGGAGGACTCGAAGGCTTGTTGCCATTCATAGTGACTCATCTCCTGATTTCTTCGCAGGTCTTACATTATGTTATCTTGTTTCCCCAACTACAAGATGGAATACACTGAGCATCTCTGGTAACTGGGAACTCATTTTTTCACTGAGAAGTTCTGATAATTTGAGAGGTCTCTTTATGTTGATCTGGATTCTCTCTCACTCTTGTTTCCACCGGTTGGTCCTGTTCTCTCTTCTGAACTCATACAGACCGACCCTCCTTCCTCCTCCATGGGCCACCCCCAAGACATATGATGATGATGATGATGATGACGATGATGATGATCACCATCGTGCACATGTATTAAGCACTGCCATCTACCACACACAATTTTATACACATCTCATTGATTATCTTCGTAATAATCCTATAAGTTAGTTACTATGACTATCCTCTTTCTACACTGGGGAAACTGAGGCACAGAGGAGGTTAAATAACTTGCCCAAAGTTCACAACTTACAAGTGGAAGTACATGGATTTAAGGGCAGGCAGTCAGAGCCCAAGTCTTTTATTTCTCCTCCCTCTCACACTACCAGGTTGTGCCACCTCTGGACTGTCAACTCTCTTCATCTTCTCCCATGGGACTTGGTTTTCAGATCTTTTCCCATCCTGGCTGCCCTATTTTGCACACACTGTAGTTTGTTACCCTGCTATTTGGCAAGGTCCCTAGCATTGAAAACAACACCAATGATGGGATCTGATGGGGGCAGGTGGCTACCACACCAGTACTTCTTGTGGCTGAAATTTTATGATACTATCCTGCCCCAGAAATGAGATGACGTGCAAAGCTCATGTAAGAGTTCAGCACGTTATCCATTATCATTATCCTTATCCTTATTATTCAATATGATCAAGGTTGCACTGGCCCTTTTGTTAGCGACTAGATGACAACATCACTTCAGCTTAAATGGGTGGTCATCTTTGTTGCCCAGACCATCTCATGATCCTATTTTTCATCCAATTCTTTGCCATTCTGAACCTGTGTAGATTTAAAAAAATAACATAGACATAAAACTTTACATTTATGTTAATTAATTGCATCTGACTTTCAGCCCAAATTTCCTCTAGTCTACCCAGTTTACTTCCAATCTTCATTCTGTGACCTTCTGTCATAGCGTTCCCATCATTTGGGGATTAAGTCATTAATATGTGTGCATAAAAGGAAAAAACAGTGATCAAGCCCTCTCCTTGGTCAGTTTAACACCAAACATTATGCGTTAACATCCCTAGGGGTATGGCTGCCCTATCGGAGCTGCATCTTCCGGACTGGACTGTCACCCAGCCTACTTTTTATTATAAGACAGACTGATGGAATTCAGAGATGAGAGGCACATAAGGGAAGATGCCGCTCATCTTTCATGCCTCATCTTTCATAAATGAGCCCCAGTGAGGTTAAGAAACTTCCCCGTGGTCATCTAACTTATTAATGGTAGAACTAGATATGTGTCCAGGTCTCCAGACCTCAATCTTGTGTTCTTTCCACGAAAACATAAAACACTGTGCCGAGATCAAACAGCGTTTCCTAAATGACCACCCTGCAACCTCTATCAGAAAAGGAATAAGAAAACTCAATTAAGTCACCAATATCTCTGTGCAAAGCCTAAATACTTGGTTAATAATCTACTCTAGAATCTTGCCAGGGATCAGAATAAAGTGTATCAGTCTGTGGTTTCCAGAATGTACCCTATTCTTATTTTTTGAACACTGAAGCCATATTTGTCTGCCTCTTATTGGCTAGAACCTACTCTGTTTTCTGGATTTGTCAAAGCGGCCCCTAAATGACATCTACAGGCTTGTCCGGCAACTTGGATTCAAATGTGTGTGTGTTTTTCAAAGCCAGTTAGTTCTCCACTGATCTACCTTGGGCTCTAGTATCCACCTTTGGCATCTCTTCTTCCATTTTTAGTTTAAGGCCACTCTCTTTGGAAAAGATGAAAACTCTTCCAGAATGGCAAAGTCCTGTTGAGCTATACTTTCTAGGTTCTTTTTTGCTTCAAATGTTGTCTAGCGTTCAGCTTGGCCTTCAGTGAGCCTGAAGCCAGGCTCGTAGCTCTGAGTTGCTTTTGTGTGTTCCTACCTGGTTGCATGCCCAGGCTCTGCCTTTGTGTGTATGTGCACAGTTCCCTGAAAGCATGGGCTCAACCAGCTCTCTCTGTTGCTGTCACATTGATTGAAAAACAAAAACCAACTCCTTTTTCTTTTCTTTTCAATGTGATTCATGACTTCTTAGAAACTTATTTTGGAATGTCTTCTACCCTCCTATCCTTCATACACACATTCCTAATTAGGGATTTAGGCTGGAGTCCCATTGGATCACACTTTCTTTTCTTCTTTTTTTTTTTTTTGAGACAGAGTTTTGCTCTTGTTGCCCAGGGTGGAGTGTGGTAGCGTGATCTTGGCTCACTGCAACCTCCGCCTCCTGGGTTCAAGCGATTTTCCTGCCTTGGCCTTCTGAAGTAGCTGTGATTACAGGCACCTGCCACCATGCCCAGCTAATTTTTTTTGTATTTTTAGTTGAGATGGGGTTTCACAATATTGGCCAGCCTGGTCTTGAACTCCTGACCTCAGGTGATCCACCCCCCTTGGCCTCCCGGCCTGACCTACACTTTCTTTTATTCTTGTCACCCTCAAGATGAAGCGGCCACTTTCCCCGTCTTGGTTGTAGTTGCTTCTACATCATCTCAATTTATTCATTGTTGGTCAAAACATCCCTTTCCCTTCTAAGCAGTAATAATAATAATATTAGCAACTCATGCTAGTTGAGAGCTTCCTAGGGCACTGTGCTGGGATTCACCCACAGCATCTCTTGGGATCTTTACATGAACATGATGAGGGAGGCAGCATTGCTACCCCCAACTGACAGGGCCTCTTAGGGGTTAAGATGCTTGCTCAAGGCGCCATAGCTTCCCACTCTACAAGATGGCAGAGCCAGGATGCAAACCCAGGAAGGCAGATGCCAGATCCTACGCTGGAGATGAGTCAGTGAGGCAAATCGGGATTTTTGCTGATGCTAGGCTTATAGCAAAATTAAACTTCCAGCTGTTTGAATAATTGAGATCTCCCACTACTGCTCTATCTTATTGAGTGCTTAGAGCAATGCCTGGCACATCAATGTTGGATATTAATATTATTATATCTTGCCTCCACACCAGGTTTGTTTTTTAAAAAAGTACATCACCAGCACAGTCCTTGACAAACAGTATTCCACAAAGTCACCTTTCTTCCGTACTATAGTTTTAAGTGCACTCTGTCCCTCCATCTCTATCCATAGCCAGCTAAGTGTGTTTGCTATTACCTTGGTAAACGTTTACTGCTTCCTGGAACAGCAGACAATCCTCACTCTGCTTTCTAGGTTGTCCCCTTCCCCTATTACCGCAGTGCGTCCCATGTAGATAGGGCAAGTAGAGGAGGTGGGAGAAGCCTGGGGTCTGCTGGACGCTGATGTCCTCTCCTCTTGGAATGCACCTACTTGGAAAGTGAAAGCCAATATAGTGTCTTGGAAAGAACGTGCTTGCCTGGGCTTGGAGGCAGAGAGACATGGGTTTAAATCTTGGCTCTGTCACTTGCCAGCGGTGTGATTCCAGGTTGTTTCCTTACCCCTCTGAGGTTTAACTCGTCATCTGTAAAATGGAGGATGGGGGAATAACATCTGCTTTAAGGGGCTGATTGGCGTCTGGAAAGCAGTCACACT